GTGAAATTTTAAGGGAAAACTTTTATCAAATAACTTACAAGATTACTTTGAGGATCCACGGTCTGGGGTAACAGTTAGACAATATCTGGTTGTGCATTTCTAATCAGTTAAGAGGTGTCATGTTAAATCAACAAACCAAAGATCTATTTGAGCTATAGATATATGATAAATATATAACATACAGGAATATCTGGCTTATGTCAGAGGGTACCCACCAAGAAGAGGCTATGCCCTTTGGGCAGAGTTTCGTCTCGGGAAGCTAACTCCGTTTTTTTTACGTGGTCTATAGGGAATTTTTGCCCCAGCCTACGGGCTCGTATTCCCCACTTTAAACTTGGCCTTGTGGTACATCGTGCTGCGTGGGGCAGCGGGTAACCTTGGAAACGTGAATTATGATTTTTGCTGTGTCTTTAAAACCCAGTAATTTTAAAAGTTACTCCAAAATTAGCTTGGGGATGAAATGGAACTAATGTCTTTAATTTAATTACAAAATTAAATTCGGAGCTTTCATCTTCCATTTTTGAAACATGGTTAGAACTGTGTAGCGAAAAAAAACATATTTTAAATCAATTAATTTACAATATTAATGCTCTGTAAATTTACATTGAGCACTATTTTGTAAAAATGAAAATATCTATAAGAAGACCGGATTATATATTTTACTGTTCTTTCTTTTTTATATATATATATATATATATATATATATATATATATATATGTATATATAGTTAAATTCCCAGATGAATTCTGTGGACAAGACAGATTGGTATCAAATGACAATTGGAAAAAATCTTACATTTTGCCAAAGCGTTTCGTCTTCCGACTTTTTCAAGGCAAAAATGAAATCGAAATGTTTTTGTTGTTATAGTTACATTAAAATTCAAAATTAAAAAGATAGACGCTTGTGTCTAAGCCTTTTTTCTGGTTAATGTAAATTACCTTTATAGTTGAGTCTACTCTATCAGCTAAATTTTTATAATGAAAAAAATGGTAATTGAAACTAAAATTAGTTTAAGTAATTTATGTCTATTGAGATGTGTAGCGCAGTCGTAAAGCATAAGGTATTCGGGCCGCAATAATGGAAGATGGTAACTTGGTTACAGTCAATTCTGTACCACTTCTAATATCAGGCAGGAAACAAGGTATAGACCTCTACTTATGTTCAAAAGACCAGAGAAGAATATAAACAAGATGATAGGCAAATGCTTTGAGATTACGCAGCGCCAGTCTATAAAATCTGGTGAATTGTTGTCCTCTTTAAGACATAAAGGATTATATATATATATATATATATATATATATATATATATATATATATATATATATATATATATTAACTGTCAGAACTACGCTAAGTAGAAAAACAAGTCTATTTTTAATTCTGACCTTATGTCCCTGAAATTTAAATTTCGGTAAAGAGGTAACGCTTTGTTTTTAAATTTCCTTAAAAATCATTAATCACCAGTTACTTACCATCGCCTGAATAAATACAATCATAATATTGAAACATGAAAGCTTTTGTGTAGCAATTTCAAAATGTTTTATTATAATCTCTTATAATAAAATTATATTGCTCTACTTTGTATTGAGCACTTTTTAAAAAGTAAATACTACGAACAGTGGATTTCTACTCTATCTGTTCATTCTCGTATTTGGATATATATAGTCATCCACAGACAGACTGTTTCCCTGTATCACAGCTCTTCAGTGTGGCTAGACGTCCGATTGCTTCAAGCCAGGATCGAAATCCGACCGATTCAGTCAGAGATCCTACCCCTAGACTATCGTCGCACTGCGTTAATAGAAGTAGAAGATCAACGGGTTACTTCGGACCCGACATTCCGCGTTTCATGGTTACAGCGCCATATGAGAAAGACGACGTTGTTTCTTCACCCGCAGTACGCTTATTGTATTGTGCTACATTTGCTATCTCTCGTTTGTGTCGTTATTTTGGGTGAACTTTATGCCCTTCATTATGTCTCCCAAGCGTAAGGCAGACTCGTGGGTGCTTATGGACGTGAGTTCTTACTTACGTCGAAAATCAGGTTACGTTGCGCCGTAGAAACGGATCTCCAACGTAAGTCGAATTTCTCTCTCTCTCTCTCTCTCTATATATATATATATATATATATATATATATATAGAGAGAGAGAGAGAGAGATTTAATACAAATATAAAATAAGTCACTTAACTCATTGGTGTTACCTTCAGCATTCCGACTTTCGTAGATGGAACCTCCAGCAATCACTCCGTCTCCTCGTTAGAAGATATCAGCAACTTTTATTGCAACTTTTGTTTATTTTCTCGTTTTTCTTTTATATATGTATTTTTATTGGTGCAAGTTTTATTATATTCTTTTCATTGTGTGCGTTCGTGTGCATGTGTGCGGGGGCGCGTAAATGCGCTCGTCTGAGTATCTGTGTGCGTACATGTAGAATATCATGGTTATTTGTCCTTTTCGTCATTTTCCTTGTCTGTATGTACTCGCTGCTTATTCGTTTTATACATTTTTCTCTTGTTTTCATTTGCAGCTATGTTGACATTGGGTTTGTCAGACAGTCACTGTTAGGTTCCTTCACGAAAGATAATTATATTATTTATTAATGATAAAATATCAGTGCATTTAAAAAAAAATTCAGTTTTACAAAAATCGATAAAACACCCCTGATGCGGCCACGAAAGTGACTGCATGCTTACATTAATGGCTCGCTCGTGTTCATTGTGGCCATCATGGCCACGGTGGCATCTTGTAAAATTTCCTTGCTATTATAGGAACCCAACTTGGGCTTCCTTGATGACATTTCGAACACAGTAATTCATGATATCTGGAGAGAAAGGGGACCATTTGTTGTTGAGTGACATGATCGCGGAATATTTCTAACAGCCACTCCTGATTCATTTATGCCATGTGAGTGAAAGTAGATACCTGTTGGAACACGTACGGCCACACCTTCAAGCTACGCTTAACACCTGAATATTGGTGGTGACATTGATTCTGATACTCGTTTTTAAGAAGTGGAGTGGCATGGTGTGAATTTTGCTGCTCAGAACAGACGGGAGCAATCCCACACGTGACGTGTGCGTCAATATGGATACTTCTGAAGAATCAGAGCAGAACCAACTATCCCCTATTTTGTGCAGTTGATTGCATTCAAAAAGTAAGCTAGAATTTTTGTTTAATTATATTCTTAATCATTTCACCATAAATAAGGCAATACTACGCCTAAGATGCAAGGGTTTAATGGGAGTTAAAGTCAGTGAGAAGACTTTAGTGGCGACAATAAAAGAAGTGAATTCAACAGAAGATGGTGCATTTAAATTTCTAAAGATTGTAGGTGACAGGGAAGCAAGAAATCGAAAGATAGATCCACAGAAGAGAAGGTCGGAAAAAAGAAACTATTAGAATAGAACTTGCGGTTACATTGAGCTATTTAAACAATAAATGCAGCACTGTTGTCATATTTGGACAAGAGCTGCCCTGACTGCTCTCTCCAGCCTTGATAGAGTTCAAAAACTTCTTCGATCCCTAATTATTCTCTACCCTTCAAACTCTCCCACAGGCGGGATATGGCAAGTCTCCTCACTGCTCTACCGCTACTTTCTCAGAAAGTGCCCAGACGAACTACATTCCCTGGTCGCACTGAAGCAAACCTTCACATCAAGAACATGCCAGGCCACTGACACAACAAACAACCCACAACAGGATTTTTCCCTGATCACTACAATCTTAACCTGTTCAAAACTGCGGTAGACCGCTGTTTTCCAATCCTAGACACAAATGGCCTCCAAAAGTAACCCTCTAACTCGAGTGGCCCCCGTACCTTGTAAAGTGTGAAAATTGCTGTAATATATATATATAGTTGCCAATCTTGTAATATGCTTAAATTCTTGTGATCAATTTACCTAAGAGGAGAGCTCATTAGAACAACTGCTCTGAAATTATTTATTAACAATGACAGAGAGAAGCCTCGTCACGGCAGTGGGAGAATGAATAGAATCGAGATTCCAGGTTAGGATCGATAACATTACAGGCGTTTCTATGGATTTTGTTGAAAATCTCGAGATATATTGCAGGGGCACCAGACCAGATCTGGCTGCAATATGCAATGCACGGACGAATTGTAGATTTCTAAATGTGTAAAGATGGATTCTGTCGAGAAAAAAAAAAAAAAACTGGCACAACACAGTGAACAAACTTTCTCACTGCAGACCAAGCAATTGATTCAATATTGTCATTCTATTATCATTCCAATTCATTCTTTCTATTTAATCTAAATTCCTCGTCCTGGGCATGACAATAAACTACATCCGGCAGCAATGCTTCTGATCGAGAGTTTTTGTTGTTGTTCACAGATCCACTCTGACCCGAGGTCGTATCACCTGTTAGGGTCCCGGCTATGAGAAATACAGTGACCCAAACAATAATCAACAGTATATTTTTTCTAATGAAAGGAGCAACAATACATATTTATAGCAAAATGACAATCAATACAACACTAAAAATATAAAAATACATTTTATAGTAAAATGACCAACAGTACATTTTATCATCTTCAAACTATATATCTAAAAAACATACCTTTAGCCTGAAAGTTTAAAATTATGTACAATATATTTGTAGATGAAAGCATAAAATAACGTACAATATATTTAGATGTCAGTATTAAATAACTCATACAGACTGATATGCCGCTAAACAAAATCAATTTTCGTGAGTGTAAAACTCTAAGAAATATCAATTAAATCGCATTTAAAATCTACTGAAATGCTCAAACTCTATAACATATAAATGAATAATTGCATATAAAATATATTTTCTTCGAGTATATAAGATCAGCCAGTTGTGCCTCGAGAAATTAATCTGTATACGAATAGGCACCCGTTTATCTCGTGAAATAATGGAGCTACAGATATTTCATTGGATTAAGTAATAAATTCATATTCATTATCTTCTTTTTTTTAAATATCTTTTAACGCTTTCCACGGCTTACGAACAGCACGGTGAAACACTCGTTCGCGTACAATCACCGAAGATAAGCAAGGTTGAACCTGGTTAGTATCTATATGGGTGACCGCTTGAGAATACCAGGTTCTGTAAGCTTGGATGTGCAATGGTGTTGTAATGAATAATGGCTCGGGTTTGTTAATCAGAGAGTCAAGTTCCAATTCCCGTTGGGTTCGTTATATTCACTTATGCGCAAATACCATTGGGAAACATACGAATCCATCTCTTCCTCACAGCTATGGATTAATTAGTAATACTTGTATCAATGAACTATTATTATTATTATTATAGTAGTAGTTTTGGTCCAGGTTATCGTATACTGTAGCTTAACTTCATTTGGCAGTTGGTCAAAGTTTAGGCCACAGCTAGCCTACAGTATGTTGGTCGACCTATATGGTAGGTATAGGCGTAGCTCTGAATTTTGAGGCAAGTCGACTTGTTGTAAGTCGCAACTTACGATAATATGTAATGAGTAGGAAAGAAAAAATATGCGCCTAACAACCCTCACCACTGGCAGGCAGTACACACTTATTGTTCGAAAAATATCGTATCTTTGAAATCTCTATCTATAAAAGGCAGGGTGTTTGTGTGTGTGTAACGAATGCACGGCCGCAATTTTTGACGGATTTGCACCAAAATTTACATGCACATGCTCCAAGTTAGCGGGAAGGCCAAGACCGACTTTGCATTTCCAACTCCCATCGATAGTGGAAATAATCGATTTTTTCATGCTTCTACGGCAGTTTTCATGTAGTTTGCAATCATTTTGTACTGGCCAAAGTGAGAGCCTATAGCTGGCTGCCACGAATAGGCAGGAAGATTCTATTGGCCAGCGTGAGAGCTAACAGCTGACTGTCACGAATGTTAACTAGCATGCTAGCATGCAAAAAATCAATAGCTGCATTCGTCACAAGTGGGAAAAATTTAAATCTGCATGGCACTCCAATTGGCTCATTCGCTTGCTTACACTCAAGGTTGATTCTGATTCCGTAGAACTGGGTTGGGTGTGAAAAAGTATTTGTTGTTAACATTCATTTTTCATTCAGTTTTTCCAGTTACGAGTCCTTTTTTAAAGCTGATCGTTTTGTGTTAGTATAGAGCTTAGAAAAAATTCGCAGTGTGAGATAGGCAAGATGTAAGGCATGTAGCAACATCAGCATGGCGAAGGGCACTCCTTTAAAGGCAAGGAAGGGCAAAAATATTTTATGTCAAGTGATAGCGATTGCTGTATGAGTAGTACGATTTTTGAATCAAGCACGGGCAACGCCGGGCGATGCTGCTAGTACAATATATTACTCATATTATATAAAAATATATATATAAATACCTGATGTCCTGGGGTTAAGAAAATGTGTGAAAATCCTCTCTATAAGAAAAATGAACAAATAATTGGTAAAAAGTTGATAACTATTTTCTCTCGATTCAGAATGAAACAGACTTCATTGATTTCAGTGGCTCAGCTGAAAGGCTCACTCTAGTATCAATATTGCGATAAGTGATGATTCTGGGATTGGTATCTTTCATTGTTTTCTCCTCTACATTCTGTGTCGTTTTAGGACGTGGGCGATCACAGCTCTCCTAAACCTCCTATCCCGTGAAACACTTAGCAACTTTTGCTCTTTTGCTAAGCATCATGGCCCAGTTCCACAATTCTATTCACACAAGCTCAATCTTTCTTGCCCTCAATATGCCATGTGTGTATGAAATTCTCCAAGACTTCCTTCCATATTATATTTCCATTAAATTTCTGTTTTTGTTTCCATTTTCATTAAGAGACATCGTTACTTACGTATTATGTCTATGGAATTCTCAGTATCTGTCTGCGGAACCAAATTTCTGTTGCCTCCAGTTGGGCAATACTCTTTTCTTTGTTCTTCACGTATTTTTCCTGTTTCTTAATACTTTACTTAAATTTTCGAATGCATCTTTCACTAAACCAAGATTTGGGTGCCGAATTTTCCGTCCTCTGTTAAAAAACACTTCCTAAATATTTATATTTTTGTACTTGTGTGACGTCCCTAAACATAGCCTTCGCTCGCTCCTCGCTGCTTCGTTCGGGTGTCGCCAATCCAAACGTGACGTCCGCCTGTCGCGCCAGTCGTGTTGTCCCGTTCTGTGACGACCAACTGGCTTGGTATCGGTCGTGGCACCCAAATGTGACGTTCTAACCTTTTGGTGATTCGGATGGGAATCTGGTTAGATTCGATATCAGCTTCGTCGTTCCCAACTCGCTTCCAACGTCCGGTTACCAAAGTAACTGCGTTGATCTCCAGTCTGCCTACCCACGTTGTGAATTGATCTTGGGCAGACGAAATCAATCAGTCGTTAGGGCCGTAATGCAAGTTGGGTTCAAGCGAGGGTGGTATCGCACAAATATGTTTAAAAGAAATAAAATGATAGCTCAAAAGTTCAAGGTATCAAAAAAAAGGATAACAATACTTTATGTCTAGTTGCTGGATACATAGGACTGCGTCTATCTCCCGACCCGTTATATGGATTGTGACACGTTGTTTTTTTGTTAGGCGAGTTTTAACACTTTAAGTTGTCTGTTCTTTAAGAAATTGGTTCTTGGTGTGTCTTCAGGCGAAAGTCGAAAAACCTATCTTGGTGGTATGGATCTAAGTCGCTCTTCAAAATAAATTGTTCTTGGATTGAAGACGAGTTCGGAAGTTGCGCGAATCTTAGTCAGCTGCGAGGCCTGCTTCAACTGAACACTCTTCTCTGCTGAACTCTCCGGGAAACTCTCCGGGAAACTCTACTCAACTGATTTCTGCTCGCTGCGACTTTGCTTATATGAACGCCGACCAAAACCGGGGTGGGTTTGTCGGCGTTGGAGGTTCCTCGATAATTCTAAATACATATCCACTTCTTTTATTTTTGGTTAGGAATTTCCCACTTCTTTCCATTTTTGGGAGTCTTCTCTTACTCCCACCTTCTCACCATACTTCAGAGGGGCGTCAACGGCTCTCCCCACTTCTTCGTAGCAACCTCTCATACCCATCCTCTAAGTGGGCGGCGGCGGCTTCCCTCCTTGCGTCACGTGATCACCACTCGGCCAATGATGTCCAGCCGGGCGTGTGCGATCCAGCGGGCTTTGTTTCAGGAAAAAAATATATCTTGCTCAAAAAAAATTTATCCTTTTCTTTTCCTTTTCTTTCCTTAATCGCAGCTCTCATTTTCTCTGTCGCCAACAGAACAATGCGACCAGTAGTGTCATAACCTCTATTCTCATCTGGACTTCGTCAGTCAGATTTTCGCTAATCATCAGAATGGGTGGTCGTCCAGCAAAACACAATCGACCGTCGTCTCGAAAAAACAGTTCCATTGTTCTAGTCATTTCTGGTGCCAATTTCTGATAACATAGTTTTGTTATCACAACCGAACTCTAACACCGATAGATGTCTTGTCAAAAAAAAAAAACGGTCAGCCGTTACTCAAGGTTGGCCTCGTGTGCGGCTTAGCAGACGACACAGTTAATTTTTCTTATCTAGCCAAAACCCTGTATTTCACCTGTTCTTTGTCAATTATCAAAATAACATTATCAATTGGAGTTTTCTTAGTTAGTCGGTCTGTGGTTTGCTAATTAGATGTTTGCCCGCATTAAGCGGCTGTTATCTATCTCCGATAACACAAGTTCGTCGCCAGAACATAGTCGATTCCCTTATCCACTTAGAATTTTTTTGCAATGGTAATGACACCTTTTCGCCATTTGCTACTTATCAAAATAACATTGTCAAGGCCCCTGGTCGTGGGTGGTTTCTTTTATCATCTACGCTTAAGTCTCGCCTCTCTTTTCCTTTCTTTCCTTTCTCTTTTTCCTTTCTTTTCTTTTTGCCCTGGTAAATGGTGCCACACTTGATTGATGTTGATGTCCACAGTTCGTAGTCCGCAATTTGGGATTTTCGTTTTGCAGAAAACCATAATTTCTTTACACTACTTAAATTGCTCATCTTTGTTGCAATATTCACAACGTTTCGGCCGTTGTACGCACCGGTCTTCTTCAGGTGACTCGGATTTTGAACTGAACTCTTTATTTCATCACCAGGAATATGGCAACAAATGATGTAAATAGTGGAAATAATTACATGACCTCACCTCATAAATATAGATAAATCATAATTTCGGTCAAGTTGATGGTTATTCCCTTCTTCTCGCTTTTCTTTAATACCCTGTGTAGGTAGTCGAGATTGCACCCACTGATAATAAATCCAGGTAGGGCCTAATCTTAAACCCCTTTCTATTGTTGTGTACCTACCCAATTTTTTAAAATTAGTATGCAGGGGATATGGTTCCAGTAAAAGTTCTGGATTATTCTAATATCTTTTCTAAGAAAATCGAGTTTTTCTAATAGTGCAAATAGATCTTTGTACCGCATTTTGTCAAATGCCTTTGCATAATCGATACAACTTAAGTGTACACCTCACCGCATTTGTATTGTTATTTTTTAAATCATTCTGATCATAAATATAGCATTTCTTGTTCCAGTGTCATTTGGTCATAAAAAAAAAAAAAAAAAAAAAAAAACGAATGCTAACAAATCTAAATTGTTGGACATTCTTAACTAATCAGTTAAGGAGATGGTTAGGGAATTCCTTATAAAAGTGTAGTTTCTCTCAGACTTTAGCGAGAACTTTTGCTTCTTAATGAACATGCAGGCCTGAAACTGCTGAATTACTGATGTAATTTATATAATCAGCTACAAAGAGCAATAAAAGACGTCACTTCACACTCTGCGTATTGTGCTGTTCGAAATCATGAAGACAAACCTTTCTCTCCGAGAAAAGATGTTTAATTTGATTTTCAGCAAGAGTCACAGACAGGCCAAGTTTAATATATTAGTCCCAAGAAAGTAATGGAAACGAACGTGACAACGCAACCGACTTGGTCTACTTCCGAACAAGAAGAGCGGCCGCCAAATGCACTTTCGAGTCATTCCGACGATCTCCAGTTGTACAGAGAAGTGGGCGGGAAAGTCACTGAAATATAACGACGTATCCAACCACATAAGACAGCGTGATAACAACACAGCATTACCAACAGACATTTCGTTCAATAATCAACAATTCATATTAGTTTCTCGATATACACATGTTTGAAATACAGTCACCCCAACAAATATCGATAATCCCCATGCATCTACCCTCATTTATGGGAATACAATATTGATTTGCTTTCTCTATATTTTCTGCTTTGTCCTGTACAATTTATCATATCGATGAATTTTCGTATTCAAACATTTCAATTATCTATCTATCTATCTATCTATCTATCTATCTATCTATCTATCTCAGTTTGCTCATAATTCTATATAAGTCTATTCATAGCTATTTATGTCAGCATGTTGGTATCTATCTCCTCATAATTCTAAGTCTATTCATATCTCTCTCTCTTTCTCTCTCTCTCTCTCTCTCTCTCTCTCTATATATATATATATATATATATATATATATATATATATATATATGATTTGTTAAAATGAATTCTTGTTAACGCTTCTCATTGTCCAATCGTGATCAGTATATTTTGCACGACGTCTTATAGACAAAATATTTCAACAATATTTTGTTTTCAAGAAAACCATTTCTGTATCCGTCTTTTATCACAATCTACAAAATAACTTGAATCACTCAGACAAAGATCAAAAACAAAGAACTTTACCGCCAGATGTCGCCTCATTGCATTCATTACAATCTGCGAGCTGCCTTCAATATCTGTACCATTCACTACCAAAGTAAAACGGGCCACTATCAGTAATTATTGTGGCGAGATATCTCGTAAGTTGGTTTAATAACAAAACAGGATCATTGATTATTTCTGCAATTTCAGTTTTAGAGAATCTCGTATCATTTGAGATTTATTTTCAGTTACTCTAGCATGTCCGCTTAATTTCCTGTTTCCACACCACATTTAATGTTGGAACTTGTACCTCATTTCAGATAAAAATGATACCCACAGATAAAAATAATAAAAAAAATATTTTAATTATATAATTAAAACATTTTCGTTTTGCAAACAATAATTCAACGTCTTGTAAAGATTGTTTTTTTAGAAATTGTTTTTCACTGGAAAATTCCATGAAACAGTTCAATGGGGGAAGGGCTGGCTTGTAACATTCAATAACCCCAAAATCAAATTAGTAACGTTCACCCATCATTGAGCCGACCCTGAACTTTTACTTCTCATGATAAATGGTTGTTCTTGCCTTGAACACTGATGCTGGGGGGGGGGAATGGTTGGTTCCTTGTGCCGCTCTAGAAAGTATCTGACAACTTTTGCGATACTGTAGCATTACAAGTGCCAGATTAGACCAAAAAATGGAGTACTGCGGCTCATACATCACCTTCCAGTTTTAATAGAGTTCAAAAGCGTCTATGCGGCCTTGGGCGTGATGCGCTAAACACACAAAAGGCTATTATCTCCCGATGGTCACGTGACCGCCTCTTAGTGATGTTACTACAGAGAATGACGACAGTGGTCAGACCTTCAGTCAGTTTCCAAGAGTCAAACCGAGAAGTTACTTTTTTAGTTCGGGACGATCGGCCCGGTTTGAGCCTGAGTCTGCAACCCACAGCAGCCTACAAGCCCCTGGTCCCGTTTTCCTATGGAAATATATCTTCATCAGATATAGGATCATTGGCTCGGTGTCCTCAATTTTGGAGAAAAAAAAACCCATGATTCTCCGTTTTCCCATTTACAGAATATGTCCTCTCTAGAGTAATAGCAAATAAATTCGGCTTGCTTGAATCTGGAATCCTATATATGAATCCTCCAGAAACACAGAAGTATCTCCAGCAGCCCCAATTCATGTTAGGAACTCTTATAAATAAGACTCTATATCTTCGTACTCTTACCCCACTACTTCTTGTGTTATACTTTGTCTGCATGGAATAAATGTAAATATACATTATAAATTTGTGTAGGACTTAGCAGCATAAATCTCTGACTGAGAATAAAGCATGTCTGTAATTCTTTTTTTTTTTTCAGCTATTCCGTTCCGTCTGTGTAATAAGGTGCTATTATATCATGAATATAATAATTCCCATAATGGGAGGAAATGCAAATGGGAGAATATTCATTTTTTTCCATAGCTCATAAAGTAATGTGTTATTATTCACTATTCAACCGTTTTCCTAAAGTCGAGGCGTCGTAAACCTCTCGCTAATCTGATGCTCTTTCAATCCTACATTTCTACCAGCTAAAACCCACTATACTACATATATTGGGACGAATCATCCTCATTCCCTAATTTTGTTGGAAAGAAGGAAGTTCCATTTGGACAGCTTCTTCCCTAGAGTCTTTAGTTTGTATAACCTGACACCCGACAGTGTGTTTTCCCGATGACTACAATCTTAACCTCTTCAGGTCTAGCGTTAAGCGATATCTGTACTACATAGTCACATAAACTGAACTTCTTACCTCCCCTTCTTACATTCATACAACAACCTTATTCAATAATCCTCTATCTGGAGTGATTCTTGGGCCTTGAAAAATTATTTAAAAAATAGAAAAGAAATCCTGCCTAATTTTAAACAAGCGAAGGTAATTTCTATTTGTTTTGTTGTGAAGATGTTAATTTCTCCAAATCTTCAGTCGTCACCTTCGTAAAATACTGTCGAAAATGTTCTTGTTCCACTATAAGAAGAGATATTCAATATCATGTTGGTTCGAAAATAGACGGAAGCTTTGAGATACATAATCAGAATCTATCTTTTCTTTTTTTTTAAATCTAGATTTTCTATCTAAATTCATTAAGCAACGTCGAGCCTGATCAATACCTAGACGGGTGACCATTTGGGAATACCAAGAGCTCTAATCTTGGATGTGCGGGCAGTGTAATAGATGGTGGCTCTGAAATGTTAATAGGGGAGCCGAATTCCAATTCCCATTGGGTTCGTTATATTCACTCATTCGCAAAGACCCTTCCCCGTCAACTATAGGTTAATTAGTAAGATTTGTATCACTGAAACCACTATTATCTAAAAAAAAAAAAAGATTTGATACAAAAGATTTAGATTTCGGATATCCATCGCTTATCACTACACCAAGTTGAAACACCGGTTCCCGTACTACCACTGAAGTTAAGCAACGTCGGACCAAGTCACTAGCTAGATGGGTGGTCGCTAGGGAATACCATGTGTTGTAATTCTGGATGTGCGGGTGGTGGAATGGATAATGGCTTGGAATTGTTAATCAGGGAGCCTAATTCCAATTCCTATTATGTTCGTTATATTCGCTTAAGAGAAAATACCCTTGGGAAAGTTAAGAATTCACCTCTTCCCCTAGCTATGGGTTAATTATTAAGAATTATATCGCTAAACTATTATCATCTCCTTACCCTCCGACGATAGCCTTAAACAAGATTGCTCATCAATCTATTCTATCAAACCAACACTTTGGTAAAATGCTCAGGCAGCCGTCGTCAGTAGTAAGACATTTTAGCGACATTATTAAAATTATTTGCTCTCCCAAGTGATATTTACTTAAGAAAGGATTGGTTATTTCGTCTGTTTAATGGCGTATCATTTAATGCCGAATTTAATTTTCTTGGCAGCTTGGAACTAATAAAAATATATGTTATTCTGCTTTCACAATTAAAATACATGGTAGATACTCAGCTTTTATGGATATACATGTGTGTGGGCATAATTACGAGAAGCGGTGATATGGCGGTTTTCTAAGCGTAGATATGGTGCAAGACCTAAAGTATGAAGTAGTCAGGATTGAACTGACTACTCATTCGAAATTGGTTTAAGTGAAAAAAAAATGCTTAACTATTACACCACATCGAGGTACCTCTAGAGGAGTTATGTGTTTTATGCTGTTTGGTTGAAGTTATATTTTTGAATACAGTTTGAATTAAGAAATTGTAGGATATGATATGGCTACATGTCATTAACGAGTTCTTTCATATTGGTTGTTTGCCAGTATTTGAAATGGATTTGAGTGAAATCGCTACAATTTCTTTGTAATTTTACAATGTATTGCTGGTATTTTTACTATAAAAATGTATTTTTAAACTTTCATAGTGTTTTGTTTTTGTTTGGGTGTTCACTATTTGCCTATAGCTGGGACCCTAACAGGTGCTACCACTCCGGGCCAGGGTGAATCTAGGAATAATAGTTATTAAGAGGTGGTTCCACTCACCTTGAAACCTCAAATCTCGCGATCAGAGGCCTTGCTGTCGGATGTAGTCAACAAAAGACAAATATCAACTATGAAAATATGCTGTTTTCTCTTTGTTTTCGATTTACCTTTCTCCTCTCTCTTTCTCTCTCTCCCTCTCTTTCTCTTCACGCTCTCCTGTCAATGGCACGAATGAATTAACCAGAAAGAGCAGATGCGGTGACACACAGAATAAGGGCGTTGACGTATTGAAAAGCCGGAATCATATGATCCGAGAGATTATATGCCCGAAGTTCAAGAGTAATAATATTCGCACACTTTTACACGGCAACTGGCCTAAATTAATACAATCGATATGGGCGGATAATAAATCTCTAAATTTTAGGCAAATTTGCTTACTGGCAATGAGGGCAAAAGTAAAAGAAGTCACATCATTTTTCTGTTGTAATCTAGAGAAAGTTAATAAATAGAATAATCAAGCGAAGTTTGGTAATGGACGATAATACTTAGGAGAAGAACAATACATATATGATTCACCAGCGGCGGCCAAAGAAGTAGTCAACTGCTAGAAGTGAGTCAAGTGAATTCCACAGTGAAACTCCAACTGCATGATATCTATCAACCGCTCCACGCGGTTAGATGTGGAACAAGGCCGAATTTTATGCAGAGTATCCGAACCGGTAGGCTCGGCAAAAATTCTCCGCAGATACTGTATAAAACTGGGTCGGGTAGATGTTTCCCTTCGGTATAGCCTCATCTGGGGATCCTCTCTGCGCGGAGGCACAGAGTTTGATCAGCACAGCTGGAGACAAATCTCCAACTGCAGATCAACATACAGTATTTACTACTGTATTTATGTGAATGGAGACATATCCATCATCGTCCATAGGTATGTTACAACACTTTCCTAGATTTTTTTTTATTACTAATATTCACTCAGTCAAGGTAGACAGATAATGTATGGATTTAATTAGCGTAGGAATAGACAAGTGTAGGAATAGACAAGGGGTATAAAGCTGAAGCAAACTTTAGGAGAAACCGGAAATCCAATCCTAAACATGAAATAAGAAATAAGCCTCTACTCCTGTTTAAAAGACCGATCCGGACTATAGGCGAACCTATCTACTCCTATTTTTTCTTTGTAATTTGTCAGCGAGCAGAATTTGTTCATTATTAGTAGTGAGCAACGGGTGCACCGTTTTGAGTCCATGCCTCAAAATTAAATTACGCTAAGTAAATAACAATCTTGAAATCTCGGGTTGGATTAACGAGTAATTCTGTTGACTGCTCTGTTTATTAGGCACCCAATACTTTTGACCTTGTCCCAAACTCAGCTAAGCTTAGCAAAAACAAAAAAAAAAAAAAAAAAAAAAAGAAATAAGTCTATCACCCAATATTCTTCTTTTGTTTTCTGTTCGAACTCACTCACTCACTTCGTTGTCCATAATATCAAATATGAGGACATTTCTCGGAGGATTGACCAACATAAAAATGTCGATTATTGATATTCCATTGAACTTGGATCAATAACTGTGAAAGGTTAACGGTTAGTTTCCCACAGAACCTGTTATTCGAGATATCTGCGTAGAGGTAAGCAGAGTAAAATATGAATGCAAAGTGACTTGGAAAATACAATCTGTCGAACAAAATTTGTTGGATGGAGCAGAGAAAGTAAAACGGAATTTTAATGATTCTTGACGCCATTGAATCTATTAACATTGGAGACATTCAATAACTTCTATTTACATTTATATATGGTCAGTTGAGAACTAAATCATTGGATTTTAATGTGTTATATTAAAATCTGAATAAGTTATTAAATGTTAATCTCATGTTTATAAGGGTTCATGAGGATTGAATTTATAAAGAATAAACAGAAAAAGAAGAAAAATATGAGAATTGTTTCATTTTCCATCTTTCCATGTCGGATCAAGTGCTTAAGATTCCCCTCGGCTCAAATTATAAATATTGCATTTTCGCCTCGGATCAAGTTACGAAAATATTTTTTTACATCGGATCAAGCTAAAAAAATTGGATTTTCACTTCTAAGTCTATGAATATTTGACCCATTAAAAAAATACAGGGAAAACATAATTGTATATTATATTAACATTTGCAAAGAAAAAATGAATGAATCTCTGAAGAAAAACACACCATCATTTGGATATTCGATTTCATCCAGGTTAGAATATATCCTGTTTTTTTCTTTCTGTTCATATATATATATATATATATATATATATATATATATATATATATATATATATATATATATATATATATATAAAGTTTGTGAATATGAATATTATGCATGAAGGGAGATTACTGGGTCTAAAAAATTATATAATTTTTGTTAAAAGAAAATAAACCTGAAAAATACTAAAAAAGAGAAAGGTCATAATATTTATTGAAAATTAAACTGGATCGACATTTTTTCAAATTTCAACAGATATTTAGTTTCATGCATATATTTAACCATCAATAAGGTTATTTAAGTGTTTTAAGATAATTATTTTTTCTACAAAACATAAATTACATTTATCGCATTTCCTATTTTAAGAGTTGGCTTTTGCTAGAATATTCACGTAATAACGGGTATATTACCATCATTCTTTCATCATTATTGTCAGAAATGTTTGAAGAGGGCAGTGAAGTTAATGTATCTTACATTGCCTAAAGTCATTCGATGATGATAGAAACGAAATTTCTCAGTGGAATCAAAAAAAAAACGTTACCAGAGTATGTGTTAGCCTGGTGAACAATATTATTAGTCATACATTGGCCGTTTAAGCGACAGATCATATTTCTTCGGCAGTTGCATCTAATTGTAAAAACGTTAACGTTGTAGCCATTGCTGAACATATATTTATTTAATATAATATTGGCATGTTGGGATATTGATTTATAGATGTTATTAATGCAGCTATAGCTGATCTTTAAATTATTTTTGTTAAAAATCTTCTTTGGTTTTCAAAATTACGATTAAAAGAGGGATTAAACAATATTATATTAGGAGGTCACTGTTTATTTTTACCTTTTTAGTATTTTTCTCAATATTTGAATATTTACTTTATGGTTGCTTAATTCTAATGCTTTTATATAATTTCATTTTATTATTATTATTCTTGCTGGAGTTAGTGGATAATATGTAATGTAATTTAAATTTTAATAAAAAATATCTCGTTAACGCAATATATATATATATATATATATATATATATATATATAACCAACAAGTTTGATCCTTAAGAACTGAAAAGGTGGGTCCATTTAATTTTTTATTGTAATGTTACAACTTTCGAATTAGGTGTTGAGTATTGTGGATAAACTGTGTGTATCTCTGTGTGTGTGCGTGTATATATATATATATATATATATATATATATATATATATATATATATATAAGTAAATAAATAAAAAATAAGAAAAAATATTTTTTTTGGGTGCGGGCTCCTTCCCAATAACCGTGCCTATGACGTCACCGTAGACAATTTCAAGCCTTCCAAAGAATACTAGAATGTAGATAAAGGAATTATAACTACCATACAGACATCACATTGGTTCATGTCTCAAATGAAAGAAAATATTGGAAAAAAAAAACTATAACTAGAAGATAACTATAAATATAAAGTTGAACAGTTTATCCGCAATTTTAAGCACAATATTGAACATCTTATTCGAATATTGGAAAATAAAAAATAACCGATAAAACACTTCATTGCCTAAATACACCTTATATATATATCTGTCTGTCTGTCTCTTTCTTTCTCCCTCTCTCTCTCTCTCTGTCTGTCTCTCTCTCTCTCACTATCTATCTATCTATCTATCTATCTATATATATATATATATATATATATATATATATATATATATATATGGTGCGGCAGGAATACCTCCTATTTAATGGTAAGACATTAGTGGCAATGGTGTTTTCATCTAACTAATATCTTAATATTATTTAGAAAAATAGTATGACAAATCGGAAAAAAAAGTTTTTAACGCGTTTCATGAAGTACATTTCATACACGCGTCGAAAAAACATTTTCAATTTGTCATACTATCTATCTATCTATCTATCTATCTATATATATATATATATATATATATATATATATATATATAGTCTTAAGGTGTGTCATATTTATGGGATAAAGTGCTCAATATCAGAGATAGAGTGTGTGTAAATATAAAAGTGAACATAGAAATCAACACTTAGAGGCGACAGGCTGTTTTATGTTAGATGCAATCGTCAGGCCACGAGTAGTGTTATTTTTCTCGGCTATTTATATATACGGGTCAGTGGTACATTGTGGGTAGTCTATTTTGGCAGTTATTTTACCGGAAGTCGTTTATTTGTTTATTTGTTTGGGTTAAATTATTTTGCCTGCCATTATTCATTTTTATTTTTATTTCTTATCTTATATATTTATTTATTTTATTTTTATTTTATTAACGTAATAAAAAATTGTTTATATCGTTATTTAATTGTTTTGTTTTGATAATTAAAGCTATTTATTCAATTTTGGGGGTTGATTGTTGTAGTTTAATCGAACTATTATTTTGGCGAGAACAGTTTTTAATTTTTTTATTACTTCATGTATTTATTTGGATTGATTATCTTTATTTGTTTTTTCGTTTTTCTTGTTTTTTTCTAACGGTTAATTTAATGATTTGTTACTTTATTTATTTGGATGAATTTAGATTAATTTATTTTACTTGTTTTTTATTATTTATTTATATTTACTCTTTTCGGTTTTCGATTTTTAAGTAACGTAGTATTTTTTTTATCGTTGTATAACAGTTATAGTTATGTTTTTCCTCTGATTTTTGGTTTGATTTTTATAATCTAACTAATATTTTGGTCATAATGGTTTGTTAACTTGTTTATTATTTACTTTATTATTTGGGTTCATTGATTTTTTTATTTTTATTTATTTATTCTATTTCATCTATTCTAACGAGTGTGATTTGGTAATTTGTTTGGGTTAATTTATTTTACTTATTTTATTGTCATTTTGTTTATTTATTTTATTTTATTTGTTCGGTTTTCGATTTTTAAGTAACGTAGTAAAAATTTGTTTTCATGTTTGCATTTTGAGATGAGCTCGGATCTTTTATTGAAAAATTTATTTTGGTCTGGAGAGGTAATGATAGCTACTTTTTCCTCCAAGCAAAGTTTGCAAGTGCTTTTTTATTATTTGTGACATGTTCTCGGTGCAACTGTACTGATTTTTACTGTGTTTTTGTTGAATATTTTGTGTAGGGAGCTTGATTCCAGAAAGTGTTTGTGTAACAGTTTGAAGAATATTTTTCCTACGTTTGTTTTTAGGTTTTTGCTGTACGGTGGGTTGAAACATTTTTCCTGTTGGCCTTTTTTTGTGATCTGTGGTGAGTATGTGAGTGTTTCTGGGAATCCACTATCTTTTTAGGGCTGTCTCGTAGTCTTTCTTAGCTTTGTTAAATATGGATTCATTGGAGGAATTGTCGGAAAGCCTGCGGCTAATCGATTTGGGATTCTGTTTGATTATAGAAGGCGAGTGGTTGGAAGATTCACCACTGACCCGTATATATAAATAGCCGAGAAAAATAACAGCACTCGTGGCCTGACGATTGCATCTAACATGAAACAGACTGTCGCCTGTAAGTTTTGACTTCAATGTTCACTTTTTTATATATATATATATATATATATATATATATATATATGTATGTATATACATATATATATATACATGTATATATGTGTGTGTGTATGTGTTTGTGTGTGTGTGTAAGTTTGTTTTGCTTGTGCGTGTATATACACTATATTTCAAAGGTTTGATGCCACCCCAGGAAATTTTTTTGTAGTTATTTTGTACTTTAAATAAGAGAAAATTATTATAAATCGTTAAAAAAATGAGACATGCTTTTTATTTTTTAGAAATGTTATTATGACAAAAAGAAAAGAAAGCATTTTATGATTAAATTTTGCACTCGTCAAAATAGCCTCCTTAAAATTTGATTACTGCAGCACTCATTTTTGACATTCATTGCAAATATTTCTGGAATTATAGCTTTGACAATTGATTCCATTCTTTATTCATTTTTTCACTCTTCTGTCAAGTACATCTCAATTCAAATGAGAAAAACAAAACACCCCCCCTAAAAAAAAAGGAAACAAAACAAAATTTTCGTTTATTATGTATTAAATTACTTCACTTGGTGTTCTCTTTGACTTTCACAAACAGCCTGAAGTATATTTATGAGCGATGTTAAATTTCAAAATGTGTATATACTCGTTGCAAAATAAAATCATTACATTTGCCTTTATAAAGATCATCAGAGGACGAAACGAGTCGGTAAAGAAAAGTTTTCATTTTGTCTTTATTCGTCTTTCTCTGCGATCTCGGAGGAGATCGAAAGTACTTGGATTAAAACAAAAACTACTTCCTTGATGAATGTCAACTTAACATCAAGAATCTAATTAGAGACCTAGAAGTGATTATTAGAAAAATAAATAGTCATAATATGTCTGTATTATTTAACGAAACATATAGCCAGCTAGTTAAATAGATTAGTTGCAATGGTTATTATTGGAAAAAATCAACAATCCAAAACGCCGACAAAAATCCCCCCTCCATAAGAAAACGATGCCAAACAAAAATAATAGGATTGAACATAAGAGGGTGTGAAAATTAACCTAAATAAATTAATACTACTTCTCCATACAAATTACTGCTCAGGAATAATACACGCCCGCAAAGAACGCACCTGAAAAAAAATACATTAAACACTACAAGCCATGCAATCATATAAATAAACAAACTGATAAAACCTCGAGTAGCTCATGAATAGTCATTAATAATGTTATTCCTCTCAGTGAAGTAAACTTAAAAAAAAAACTATTATCTGCAACCTTACACAGAGCAATAACCATTTGTTTCACTATGAATACCACCAAGGGAGACGATCAATGAAACAGAGCTAAACTGATGGGGCACTTCATCAGCCATGATGAGTTATAGGACAAAAAAGAAAAAGAACAAAACAGATAGAATAATAGAGGCACTGTTAAACGAAGGACAGTTGTGCGTTTTTTTTTAAACAAAGCCAACATATATCTACAGTCAGCAACAGGAAAGTAGTCTGTATTGATTTCACAAAAGTCGGCCCCAACCTATACAGGAAATATACCTGGAAAAATCACAATAACCCATGCGAAAGTGAGCAACATTCTTTCGTATGAGAAAATTATTGCCCACAATTAGACAATAAAATAAAATATCGTGTAAACTGGGATGAATTCAGAAGCTTGTTTCAATCCAAGCTAATTTCAGAAGTTAATATTAACCATGAACAAAAGCTATTTTATCAATGACCTTATCGCTATAGTTAGAGAAAAACATTAAAAATTGCTCAACCTCTCTAGAGGTCAATGTTTGTCAACGAAAGCAAAAAAGCAATAAGAACACGCTGTGCAAAACTAAGGAAAATCAAGAACAACCCAGCCAATGAAAATTTGTGCATATGTAAAAAGAGCAAAATTCTTGAAGAATCCAAAGTAAACATTTGAGTACGCCAACCATCATGTTTGAAAGGTCATATGGATGACTGGGTGACCAATATTTAGGACGTTTTCACTAATTATATTGAATGGAGGGAAGCAAAGCAAATGAAAACTAAATAAATTGTATTAGATGGCGATAAAAGAGAAAGAGAAATGAAGAAAGAATAATAAAAAAGAACGAATAGTGGGAAGGTTTTACCATATTTATATGTGATACTTTCTAGTCTTGGCGAAGGAGAAGGTCGACTTTGAATTGAAAACTGCTGAGAAAGTAACGGGAAACTAGTATCATGAAAACAAAGTATGAAATAAAGGCAATTCAGAGATACTGAAGTAAATAAATCTGTGTAGAGCTATGACTTTCTGCGTCCCGAAAGGCACCGTATTAAAAAAAGACGAGAATATATATTTTATTTATGAGGCAGTTTTGCTGCTGTATGTGCAGAATATGACGTGCTTTCCAGTTGATACCTAATTCGTCAAGCGTTTTTCTTGTTTAACTTAAGTCAGAAACAATCTTTTGCCAAGAGATTTAATATTTACTAACCTAGTCAAGGCCCCGTCTTTGTTTTTTTCAAATCTCAGAAAATGCTGTATATTTGACAACATGGCTGCATTACTTTCCTATAAACTGAAACATATTTAAACAATTGATTATATTATTTCAAACTCATTTCTGTTTTGAAACGGTTCTTATATTATTTTCTTCTGCAGGCAATGCCAAAGACCCGAATATGAAGTCCTTCGTCGCTATATATTTTACCAGACTTCATGGCCATTGTTTCGTTGTCAACATGACCAGGCAACCCCATATCTTCCACCTGAGTTTGCTGGGCTCCAACAGAATGAAGTTCTTCGAAGAAGATACGATTATCAGGTAAAACAAATTATGGAATAAGTAATAACTTTATGCTCAGTATCTTTTGAGTTGGGCGTTTCGTTGAGTTTTGTGTAATTCCGTTGATTTCATCCACCAGAGTTTTTTTAAAAGGTAGCTAGTAAATAGAAGAAAACCGTTTTTGTGTTGGTTAAATATCAAAGGGAATGGATATTAACTGTCGGGGTTGTAGAATTGAAAACATCCTTGCAACGACGTGTAAAAAAGAAAATAAAAAGAACACGCCACCCGGTATTGAAACACTATACAAGACTTTACCGTATGCTATTGGCGCGTGAACGCATGTACCCCAATTTAGTTTCCTGTTTTAACACCTGGTCAGTGCGCCAATTTAGCTAACCTTGAGAAAGAGAAAGATACGAATAGACGAAACAGGTGGAGGTAGGATTCGAACACAGAGATAAATTATTCCACTTACATTAAGATTGTCAGAAAATCTTCTGCATTATTTATCTTTCTCTATAACATACCAGAGGGAGGAACATAATAAAATGACTGGCGGCGGCACTAAACTACCGAATGTGACTGCTCATGGCTCTGGCAATTATTATGACATTAAATTAGTTCTCGGTAACTAGACATAGTAAACAAAATATTTATAATTAAAATGGAATTTTCCCCCACGGGTTTCGGAACATTTCGATAGCTGGGATCGAACGTGGTGATTAATATATTTCTACTATAAGTTAAGGAACATCTTCAATTATTTTTAAAAAACGGTCTGAAGACGATGCTAATTGAAAAATCTGTCTTTCAGAAACGACGTGAGGAAGAAAAGTCCGCTAAAAAGCAATGTGAAAAAGGAAGAAAAAACACAATACATGCAGTTTCGATTTCAGCAGAACGCAGTAAGTTACTTTTCATTTTATTCAAAAATTCCATTAAATACAAAGATTATTTTAGTCAACTCTGTATTTTAATTGTTGAAAATATTTCGTAAATAAGTCAATAAAACAAATTAAGAATGATAAAGGTTTAGGTAGTTTCACTTCATATCACTCAAATCATTCATCATAAACATTTTATCCTCCAATTTGGGAACCTCTTGAGAATTGCATTAACTAAAATATTACTTTTATTAGTTTTATTATAAATGAATATATATATATATATATATATATATATATATATATATATATATATATATATATATATATATTACTTGAATCATTAATACAAAAAACAGATATAGAAGTTAATGATTTCTATATCTGTTTTTTGCATGAATGATTCAGGTAATGTAAATTGAACTGCACCACATACTTATATATATATATATATATATATATATATATATATATATATATATATAAACAAATGTTTGGAGGTACAAAATTTATAAATAGTTTTAAAAACAACAAAACCATTGATTTTAATTTTAAAAGTCTCTAGGGCCCTTTCAGCCAACATCTCATCAGGAGACAATCGTTGGATTAGCGAAATGAATAATAGCGATATTGAAGAGCAAAAAAGAGGGGTAAACACACTAAAATAACGAACAAGTATATATACTTGTAACGAGGGAAGGGATCGTGTAAATAAATTAGCGAGGACAGTTAAAATAAAATATCCCCAACAGATTCAGAGACCTTATAAATTCTTTCTGCCGGCAGAGAGAAGTTTTTCTTAATCTATACAGACCGATTCCAAAATCTTCAAATGATTATTGGAATCGGCTGTATGAATAATTCTAAACCACTCTTTTTTATACAACTTGGCACAAAGCTATATTCTCAACTAAATGTTGAGCAATAGCCGATTCCATATTCATGGGGAAGATAGCATATTCTATCTATCTTACCAAGTCGTATTTTGGAAGGTACGTGCTGATTAATTCTAGTTTCCAAATGCATAACCAGCAGCACACTGGCAATTAAATTCATATACTAAATTACTCAATTTGATGTAGGGCAATACATCCTTGCGTAAAGACGGAAACGCAGACCTAGTTTGAAAAATGCTACGTAAAAGCAACTGATGGGAAACAACAGGAAACCGACTTGCTAACCTTAATTAAGCCCTGACCACTATCCCCAATCCAGGGAATCTTCAAATAAACCGGACATTTAGAAGGCCCTGGATTTTAGGGGAATGAAATTCCTTAGTTTTCTTACTAATAATATAGTCAATAAGGGCCTCCGGATAGCCGTTACTAAGGAAAATCTCCCTAATGTTCCCAAATTCACGGTCCAATCTAATAGGGGAACACACTTTAAGTGCTCTATACACCAAGGTTTTAACGAGATTAATTTTCCTTGATGCAGGAGCAAATGAACGCCAATTCAAATAAAGTCCAGTAAAGGTGGGTTTACGATAGATGCTAGTAATAAAACCACCTCTACTGCGTTCAACAAAAACGTCCAAAAAAGGCAGACAGTTGTCTTTCTCCCCTTCCATAGTGAAAGACAAACCATTGTGTAAGGAGTTGAGCTCATTAAAGAACTCAACAGCCTCACTTTCATTAGAGAAAGTTGCAAAGGTGTCATCGACATATCTAACGTAAACAAACGGTTTAGACACTTTGCCGAAAAGTAACATTTCATGGTAGCCCACAAAAATATCAGCCAATGCAGGGCCAAGGGGACTGCCCATCTGGACCCCATCCACTTGACTATACATAATATTGTCAAAACTGAACTCCACCGAACTAGTACATAGTATCATGAGTTCTATAAATATATCCTTAGGAAAGGAGGTGGAGCAATGTTACCTTCGTATAAAAAGTCTGCACAGATATCAATAGTTTCCCTCAATGGTACGTTGGTAAATAGACTGGACACATCAAAGGAACACATAAAATCAGTATCAGGGCAAGACTGTATGGCCTGTAGGCGTTCAACAAACGTGAACGAATCAGGTATACAATGTTAGCAAAAAATGTTTGGACCGGTTGTATGACCTGCAGAAGCCATTGAGCCAGTAGAGAATGTTGGGATGAACCAATCATTGAAAGTATTGGTCTCAATGGAACGTCCTTCTTATGAACTTTTGGAAGACCATAAAAGCCTTGGTCTAAGGGAACCAGAAGGTCTAATCCTGTCATAAGTCTCTTTAGAAAAGTAACCTTTTCTAAACAAGTATAATAGACGTTTCTGAATTTTAATTTCATTTCTGTACGTGTTGTCACAAGTTTCAACTGGACCAATTTTTTTGAACTTTTCTGAATCATTCAAAATAATCAACATCTTTTGGATGTAATCTACCCGGTCCAGTAGAACAACACCAGCACCCTTGTCCGGTTTACAAATATAAATATCATTATTAGATTTCAATGATTTAACAACCTTAAATTGAGTTTTTGACCAGACAAAATCAAAAGAGTCAATAGAAGAATTACAATAACGATAAGCCAAGTCTTTCAACCTTGACTTCAATGTAATAACGTGATCCGATGAACAAGGAACATGGTGTTTAAGTTGGGAGAACAACACCTCAAATGCTGCCAGTGTCTCCTCTTTATCAATCTTAATCGGAGGAATACAAAATTGCAAGCCCCTCGACAAGACTGCACTTTAATTCTTTGAAAGGTGAAAACTTGAGTAATTGAAAATATGCTTACCTTCAGTACCAGAGTCACAACCATATCTAGAGCGAATAAGCAATGTAAGCTGTTTTTCAAATTTCGTGTTAACACGTTGTTTGGCAAATGCATCACCATTAGCCAAATATTTACAGAAACGAAAAAAGTCAAAGAAGGACAAAAAACTTTTAACTTTAAATAGACAACCATGTCTAAAGTTAATATAAAACTCAAGTTGCTTCAGCGACTTATTAATCTCATCTTGAATAAACGCCTCGCTAATTTATTTACACGATCCCTTCCCTCGTTACAAGTATATATACTTGTTCGTTATTTTAGTGTGTTTCCCCCTCTTTTTTGCTCTTCAATATCGCTATTATTCATTTCGCTAATCCAACGATTGTCTCCTGATGAGATGTTGGCTGAAAGGGCCCTAGAGACTTTTAAAATTAAAATCAATGGTTTCCTTTGTTTTTAAAACTATTTATATATATATATATATATATATATATATATATATATATATATATATATATATATATATATATATATATATATTATGTAATGTATTTTATATGTATGTATATATAAATATGTATATACATATATATATGCATGTATTATATATGTATTATATTTATGTAATATATCTATAAATAAATAAATAAATATATATTATATAATATATAATATATATATTTACATATATGTATAGAAATATATATATATAAATTTATATATAAACATATATTTCATTTATATAATATATTTTATATGTATAGAAGTATGTATATATATATATATAGGACAGTATAGAGGATTCGGAAACAGTTGGATGAATCTACTACTTACCAATGTGTTTGATGGCGACGTTATGCCTCCATTCTTCTTGCCACAGGCCTGAAACCCAACGCACAGGTCTATATTAAAACCCTTGAGGAAGTCGTGCTGACGTAGTTCAAGTGGGTGGCTGCTGGAAAAAACCCAATGTCTGTCAATAAGACTCTGAACTATGTCACACAGGAAAAACACTCATGGTTGTCAGAAATTTCTCCGACTACATCACCTCTTACAACATTCTTGATCATTTGGTTTACACCCCCTTTTTTAAAACTAAATTAGGGCAAACATTCCTAAACCATATTAATAAACATTTTCCCAATACTAATCCACTTAATAAAATATTTAATAAAATTACGCTAAAATTAAGTTATTGTTGTGCGGACAATCTCGAGAAAATAATCAAAAAACATCATCTTCAACAAATATAAAAATTCAAAAACCAATACCTATAGCAATGATGCAGTAATTGATAATAATTATAATAATACTAATACCAGCAGATGTAACTGAAGGAATTCCAATGATTGTCAACTACAAAATAATTTCTTAGCTAGTACACTGGTTTATTTTTGTACTGTTTTTACACTTAAAAACCCGAATATTAAAACGTCTACATTAGAAGCACTAAAAACTTGTTTAAAACCATATGGTATCAACATTTAGCATCCTTCAACAACAGTGCTTAAAAAAATAGTACTTCGTTGTCGCAGTATTTATGGAGTTCAAAAGAGAAAAATAGAACTCTTACAGTTAAATGGAAACTACGTAGGTAATTCTCATGTTATCTTTGTCTCAATGAAAACTTGGAAATTATTAGATTTAAAGACAGGATTAATCTCTTAAACTAAAGGAATGAACTTACTATTAACTGTAGACATATTTCACGCTTTACCTTGCAATATAAGTAATAATATTATGAATGATAATATAATGCTAGTTAGTAATATTATTCTCATTTATTGGTTCTTTGTTTTAATTATTTATATTTATTTTTGCTAACTGACCACCGACGTTAATTATAACCTATCCTTATTTACTAGTGTTTTAATCTAACATAGTTAATTTGATATTGACTATTTGTGACTGTTTGTGACTGTTTATGCATTAATTTTACATGGACTCAGAATTCATTATTGCTATCTATGCATACATGTGTGTATGTATGTATTTATAGTTGTTTCTATATCTGTTTATATACGTGTATATATATATATATATATATATATATATATATATATATATATATATGTGTGTGTGTGTGTGTGTGTGTGTGTGTGTGTGTGTGTGTGAAAATATATAGAAAATAGGAAAAGAACTGGTTAGGTAAATAATCCAAAGTTCCTTAGTATTTTATTATTATTTTTAAAAAATAGTGCTCGATACAAAAGTAGAGCATACATATAATTATTTATTTAAAAATATGATTCCAACTCCCAGCACATTCAATAAAAAGGGGGTTGGGGAAGGACGGTCTTCTTCTGTTTT